TCAAGCCACTTGAAAGCATGTTGTTTTAATGAAGATAGCAAACTTAGGCAGGTGAAACTGTTTATAAGGACAAACTCACGGCAGAAATGTTCTTTGCAAGGAGGAACTCTTCGAGTGACATCCTAATGAATTCTCCACCGATGATAAAATCGAAAGGCTCGGATTTCCAATCATCATTTCCTGATGGCAAAACAGCAAACTTAGGTATAAAGGGTGAATTGAAGAAAAAGTGTGACCTAATAGCAAGATTGTAGAAAAATAATGTTTCCCTTGAAGAATATCATGCACAAAAGAGAAACATGCAAAACCGAGTATATTCGTTGCTCAATGATTACAAAATGAGTAACAATAAATCAAAAAATGAGTTTGATTACCAGCTTTAAGAAGGTTGTTGACAATGGTAGAGAGACCGAAACGGGTGAGGTCTGATGGAATGGCTATGGCAGTAGGAGGGACCTTGAATGGAGGCTGCAGCTTCGTTATGAACCGCACCTGTATCCGCTTTGCTGCTTTTTCAACATCCATATCCATAGGCATTCTCTACAGGTGATTGGAATATCACTTCCTTTCAAGATTTGAACTGTATTACGGGCTGGATACAAATAGTGAGAGAGTTGGGTTGAACTCTGAGTGGAATTTTTATGTTTGGAGAAAATCAGTAAAAACTAACAAACATAATTGCATTCAATTATGATATTTGGGATCTATGTGAAGTAAAATCAATCATTAGGAAGACATAAACTCAGTTTTTAATAACAAAAAATAGATATTTACAGTAAAACAAAAGAAAATATGCTCTTTCCCCAACATATTGGCGCAATGACAAAGCTCTCATTCGGAGTCTACCACAAAAAAAAACCACTTTGGACAGTTTGAATATGGTAGCACGGCAAAAAAAAACATAAAAAGTTAGGAGTGGCGGAGTGTGGGGCGTCGGTAGGAAGACACCGCGTCACCCGCAGCGGTCGGATTATAGCAATTAGCAAAGATTTCAAACTAAAAATTAATAATTAACCATAGATTTTAAATCCAAAGAATGAAACAATGAAAGAAAGAAAATTAGAAAACAAAATTCTAAATTGAAAAGATAGTGAATACGGAATACCTGGAGGGTGCAGCGGCGTCTGGCGGCAGCGGCGGCGGCGTTCTCAGCAGTCGGCACTCTCTTTCCGATTCGGTTTCGGCGGTAGGCTTCGTCTCCAGCTTCTGCGCCTCGCGTTGGTTGTCTACGAAGGGATGGGGCGGCTAATGAGATGGGCTTTAGACATAATGGACTGGGAGCTGGGCTTATTATATACATACATATAATATTAAAAATAATTCGGCCCCTTAAAATCATGGACTCGGTCCGACTTGTGATTCGAACCTGGCCCTAGGGAAGAGTATAAGAAAGCACAAGCTTCCAACCTATCATGCAATAAAGGACCATGCTCCATGCTACACTTACACCAAAAAATATACTCAATTTATACACTACAGTTATGCATAAATATTTTGATGGTTTACACAGACACAAGTATTGGTGCGTTAACAGAAACTTACTCATACACAAAGTGTTGGTCCGTTAACAAAAATTAGTTTTACACCAACTCAAAATGTTAGTGCAAACCTGCAGGGTACAACTTGGGGTAGAAATGTTGGGGTACACATAACTTAATCCTGCAATAAATTCTCATTGGAAAAAAATGGATGAAACATATATCCTTACTGGGTCTGGTCCCGATAATTGTTCTCTTTTAATTGTGGTTCATTTTTCAAGTATCATAATGCTTGACTAATAATATTTCTTAAAATAAGTTAGCAAAAAAATTATTAAAATTAGTACATTACATGTACTTCTTGATACCAAAAATTTGGTGCAATATTTCTATTTTAATACATTATATATTTTTATATATAATTAGTCCAATGTTTGATATACAAAATGAAGAATGGAAGAATATTTAAGAGTAGTTACATGAAGCTTCTCTTGGCAAGTCACATTTAGGGGTGCATACAAATCAAATAAAATGTATTCGATTCGTGATTCGTATTCGAAAAGGATGATTCGTATTCGTTATATTCAAATTCGAATTCGAATACAAATCATATTTTAGATTCGAATTGTTTTCAAATTCGAATACAAATATTAATGGATTCGATTCGTTTATTATTCAAATTATTCGAATATTATAATTTATAAATAAATATATATATATATTTTAATATATTAAATACTCCGTATTTGTGTACATATTTTAACATATTTTAATAAATTAAATTTCTGTGTACATATAAATTTATATATATTCGAATATTATAATTTATAAATAAATTTATATATATTCTAACATATTTTTACTACATTTTTACTACATTTTACATTATTATAAAATAATAATTTAATGTCTTTAAGAAATCTATTTTAAGAAAAAATTACTAATATTTTTGAATTCGAATATTCGAATACGAATTCAAATACATTAAATATTTGTCGAATCGAATACGAATGTTTTTTAAAATTCGAATTATATACGAATCCAAATTCAAATACATGTCACTTTAATCGAATACGAATCAAATAGTGATATATTTGCTTCGATTTGATTCGTATACACCCCTAGGACTCACATTATAGAACCATGACGTAATAGTGATGGACACGGTACCAATTTGTGTTAGTTCTGGTTCAAGATTTACTCGAAGTACCATATACCCATTTGGATATAATTGGTATCAGAGGATGGTTTCAATTTGCTTCTCGAGGATTCTCGATCTAATTCCTCATAACCTGACGAGTTTTATTTGTAAAAAGTTTGTCATTATTGTGCATATCGGAAGTTCCTAATCATTTTAAATAATGATTTTAGTAAGTTGGTGAATTGACATGTGTACACTGTCACTTGTAGTATGAAAAGTATGAAATTAGTAGGATTTGACGTGGGGCTGGTGTGGATGAGAGAGGTGATGCAGTAAAAAAGAAGAAATCACTCTAAATATGAGTAAAACATAAAAAAGCATCAAAGTAATAGTTTCATGTTTTTATTCTCTAAAAAGCTATTCGCACTATGATAATGTGACACTGTACATGTGCATTTTACTATATATTTTGTAATAATGTACATGATCATAATTTGTAATGTAAATGTCTTTTAATTTCTATTTCGAGAATAAAAGTATGAAACTCCAATTTTGATATATTTTTAATATTTTATTTTTACTTTAGTCTTTTATGCATATCCTCCACCCTAAGGGTGAAAAGTATGGAGCAAGCGAAGTGAATTTGGTACCAAAAATTATTGGAAAAATTATCCAAAATAATCCCAACTTTACCCAGTCTTTCAAAAATAATCTCACCTTTCACTGTAATGCATAATAATCTCAACTTTACTGAAATTTGTCAGTTTTGGGTCGCCGTTAAGTTTCTAACAGAGGGTTAATGAAATGCCCGTTTTAGGCAACAAAATGAAAGTTGAGATTATTTTTGATGAATTTTCATTTTTTTTATTTTTTTAAAATTTTTCATTTAAATTTTTTAAATTACTTTCTACCTCCATCATCATTTCTTTTTCCTTTTTTAAAGATTAGTCTTAGATTAAAAAATAAAAATAATAGATATAAAAAATGAAAAAAATGAGAAATGTAATTAAAATGATACAAAAATAATAAAATAAATAAGGTAATCAATGGAAACTAACTTGAAATTGGTAAAAGTAAAATAAAAATATATGGGTGGGTTTTAATATTTTACGCATTTTACAAAGTATAAACATATCACTTCTTATATTTTAGAAAAAATTATCTACAATAATTCTAACTTTACCGGACGGCTTTTTCTTTTAAAAAAATAAGTAGTACATTAAGACTCCGTATAGTGTGTAAAATGTTAAAACCCACCACTCCGTATATATTTATTTTATTTCTTACCAGTTTCTGTTTAATTTCTATTGATTACATTATTTATTTGATTAATTTTGTATGGTTTTAGTTATTTTTTTCATTTTCATTATTTTTTATATCTATTTTTTTCTAAGGTAAGAATAATCTTTAAAAAAGAAAAAGAAATGGAGATTGAAAGTAATTCAAAAAATTTAAATAAAAATTTCAAAAAAAATTAAAAAACAAAAATTCATCAAAAATAATCTCAACTTTCATTTTGTTGCCTAAAACGGGCATTTCCGTTAACCCTCCGTTAGAATTTTAACGGCGACCCAAAACTGGCAAATTTTAATAAAGTTGGGATTATTATGCATCACACTGAAAGGTGGGATTATTTTTGAAAGACCGGATAAAGTTGGGATTATTTTGGGTAATTTTTCCAAAATTATTTATGTGGCGTTTTGGCAAATAGGGTAACACAATCCCTTACCGTTTTGCCAAATTTTTTTATAATTGGTAAATGACTTAGGTGTGGGTACGCGCCCAAGTACTCGACTGGGGATGTTTCGGGAGCGAGAAGCTGCACGTATTTGAAGATTTCGTGCAACACAACATATTGCTATATTGGTATAATCAAACAAAATTTTAAAAATTTTCAGCATGATAAATCTAAAAAAATTATTTTTATACCAATATACATTATAGTTTTTGTTTAATTGAAACTCTAAATTTATTTAGTTTAATTTAAAAAATCAAATTAAACAAATAAACTGACAAAAAAAGAAAGAGTATAAATTTTGGACGGTGTAGGTAAAATTCTCTCTCATGTGCCAACTAGGATAGTCCCAATCCATAGTAGGACGGCACGTGGCAATGCATGAAATGAAGATTCAGCCTCCCCACGATGGACCCCATCGGTACATTCAGAATTTGAATCCTCTCCCACAGTCCCACTCATCCAAAAAGAAACGTTAGAAAATTTCAATTTCTCTGCATTGACAATAATTAAAAACGCCCTTTTTTTCTTTCTCTAATTCCATTTTCCCACTTCACTTTCTCTTCCACTTCAATTTAATGCTTCTAAACTTTTTGCAGCGACCCACTAAATCAAACGTCACAAAACAAATCCATGAAACAAAACACTTCGGTAGAAGTGTAACCATTCAAGCTCTAAGCCTCAATCTTGGTTCTTTTTATGTTTCTTGGATTCACAGTATGGTAGATGCTTAGAAGTTCTTCAAATTATTTCCGGGTAATTTGAGATTTTCTAATATCATTTGAAGCATTTCTTGTTTTTTGAATTTCTGGGGTTTAATTTCTGTGTTGCTTCAGTAAAGCTTGTTTCTTTCTTGATGAGATTTTAGAAAGATTGCTAATTCCAAACTGGTGGTGAGTTATTGATGAAGTTTGATCATCATATTGCCTTTAATTGTAACTTTGAAGCATGGAATGAGATGAAACTTGATAAAGTTTCAATCTGTAAGCATTAAAAAAATCATATGATCTCAATCATTTCATATTTTCTTGATTTTCTTGGGTTTCTTTGGTTTTGTTAATAAAACTTTAGTTTTCTTGATTACAATGAAGTATTCCAGGTTGCTGTCTTCTAAGCAGTAAGTGGAGCAGAGTTGTAGATGAGCTTTGATGATCATATTGCCTTTAATTTCAAGTGCAAAGCTTGAAATGAGATGAAGCCTAATAAAATTTCAATCTTTAGTTCAATTGACTAATCATTTTATACTTTGGAATATCTTGTACCCCATGATATTGAGGAATGTAAAAAAGGCATTCTTACACTTAGATGATTCTTGAAACAACTGGGTTCAAGAGAATATAAAATGAGTTTTTCAATTTCTAGACGAACCTTTGGACCGAGGTATAAGAGAGAAGATGCTACTCCCAATTTCTATTGTTGTCGCTCTCAAATGATGTCTATATTGCTGATTTTCTTCTGCATTTCATTTCAAGTATACCAATGTGCTTTGTTACTTACTAATTCCATCACCAAAATGGAATAATTTGCAGAATATTGTGTGAATTTGGGAATGTGTATAAGGAATCCTTGAAAACTGCATTGAGATGGGGGCAGAGAGACATGGCTCCAAGAGAGGGGGAGGAGTAGGAGGAGGTTATGTTGGTGGTTTCCTTCAGCTATTTGACTGGAATGCAAAATCAAGAAAGAAGTTGTTTTCTAGCAAATCTGATTCACCTGGTAAGTTCAAAAATATGATTTTTTTTTCCTGGCATTTTTGGCATTTTTTTCTTTCTGACACTCTAAGGTGATGATGAATGAATGAATGTGTTGCATTTGATCTTTTTTATCTGGCATATATAAAGGCTGAAGGCTCATATATTTATCCATCTCTGTGAATCTTGTAGAGCATTCCAAAATGAAAAAGAGATGCGACGGGAATTTGCCAATGACTCGATATCATCTGGTCAGTTTACACTTAAAATCACACATTCCTAACTCCATTATCTTCAACTTTATGATAAGTAAAATGCACTTAACGAGCTGTAATGCTAAGTGTGGATGCAGGTTGAGGAGGATGAGATGAACACTAACACACGCTTCAAAGGAAGCGGCAGTTATAGCTATGCATCATCAATGACAGATGATGAAGAGTTTAGTGTGAAGCCCCCGGGGGTGGTGGCGAGGCTTATGGGCTTGGATCCATTGCCCCCATCATCATCATCACACTTGTCGCAGTTCTACTCAAGCACTCCATTTTCTGAGCCATGTTGGGGCTCAAAGAACCAGAAGGCGATCGCGACACCAATTCACAAGTTCCAAACTGAGATCTTGCCTCCCAAATCTGCCAAGTCAATACCAATCACTCACCACAAGCTTCTCTCGCCTATCAAGAGTGCATCTTCCATCCTGCCCGAGAATGCTGCCCAAATCATGGAAGCAGCAGCTAGAATTATCGAGCCCAACGTGACAACCAGACCAAAAATGCCATCTTTGGGTGGTTCTTGTTTGGCTCCCTTGAAGGTGAGAGACCTTAAGGTGAAAGTCGAGTCGGCTTCTAGAAGGGTTAGTGGAACCAATACCACGAAATGTGTCAACAGAAGTGCATCAAAGGAGAGGGTTGTGGTTACTTCAGGGTCAGAAGAAAGTTATGGTGGGATGAAATCTAAAGGGAAGTCAATTTCTTTAGCACTACAAGCAAAGGAGAATGTGCTAAAGAGGGAGGGATTGAATAATGTTTCTAGCGCGAAAGAACCAAGCGGTCTATATTCAAAGCAGATCATGCAAAGAAATAACATTCAAAAGAAACCATCATCTGCAGTTAGTGTTCTTAGGCAGAACAATCAAAAGCAGAATTGCTCATCTGATAGAGGAAAGCCATCTTCAAAGCCACAAGGAAAGAGAGCACTCACCAGAGATTCTTCTTTTTCTCAGCATAAAAATTCAACAATGAAAAAAAGTGCTGAAAGCTCTAATAAAATCAGTTCAAGGGGGTTGAGCTTGGAAATGAGCACAAACAAAAATGAAGAAATATATTCCAGTAACAAAAACACGACGCGGAAGAAACATCGGTCTACAGATGGCGATTTCTCGTCTGGGAAAAAGCATTCGACTTCGGGCAATAGGAGTGAAGAACTCTTTCAATCTTGTGGATTGATGGATAGGGAAGGGACAAACATAGTTTCTTTTACATTCAAAGCTCCCTTAACACGTTCTGCGCCCATCAATGAGATATCCAAAGGAGTGGAGAAAAACTCTTCTGATCTTAATGCAGATTATAGAGTTGAAAAGTTTCATCATTCCCCAGAGAGAATCAGTAGCTTGAAGTCACCCTTATTAGCTCATGATGGCATAGGAGGAAGAGATTTAAGCTATCTTTTGGAGCAAAAGCTTAGAGAACTTACTGAGAAAGTGGAACCTTCTTGCCAAACATCAACCATTTTGCATGATGATCCCATGCAAATTGACCATCTCCCGGTTAGCCAACATCACTTCGTCTTTTCTTCAACAGATTCCATGGAAATGACAGTGAAACACAAACGACAGGTACATTTTTCAGGCTTTCTATTCATCACTCATGCTTATATGCTGGTATAACAATGGGTAATTGATTTGGTTTCCTTTGCTTGTTTAGGCAGTCGAAGGAACGTGCCATTATACAAAAAAGTTGTGTGATCGACGATTCCCAAGCCCCATATCTGTTCTTGAGAATTCTATTTATTCTACAGAAAGTTGCAATTGTTCAGATATGGAGAGTAATACTACACCGAGTAAGATGACACAACTAGACACACTGTTTATGTTCCTAGGATGAAGCAAACAAGATCTAATATGTTTTAAATGAATTCCAGGCAGTAAGCAAAGTTCATCAAATCACGCTCAAGAAATTGTTGGCATTACCTCATTGAACAGGCTGCTCCATTCCAGGGAAGCTGATTCTGAGCTGCTGGACTCAGCTTCTTCAAGAACTTCATATTTCACCGAAGATCGAAAAGCCCACTTCGGAAAATCACCATCCGAATGGGAGCTAGAATATGTGAAGGAGATTCTTGGCAGTACAAATCTTGACTTGATGATGATGATGCTCAATGCTTTCTCAGTAAAGCCACATCTTTATGACCTGCTGGAGTGCAGAAAAGTGATGGATGGCCATGGACATGACCTAAGACTAGAACGAAAGGTTCTATTCGATTGCGTTAGCGAATGCTTGGAGTCAATGTGCGCGAAATACGGGGGAGGCTGTGGGTATGAGATGTGGGCAAAGGGTACATTGGTAATTGGACGAAAGGACCGTCTTGCAGAACAAGTGTACAGTGAGATACTGAGGTGGAGTGGGCTTAGAGACTCCATGGTTGATGAGCTTGTGGACATGGACATGAGCAATGGCTCTGGGAAATGGTTGGACTTTGAAACCGAAGAGTTTGAGCTTGGATTGCAGCTAGAGAATGGTTTGATTGATTCTTTACTTGATGAAGTGGTTAAGGACATGTTAATTGTTCTTTGAAACTGATGGCATTTGAATTTGGGATTTTCAAGATAGAGGAAATTCTTTACTCTTAGTTTGCAGTGACACTAGCTTTTGATCATATATTACATCATTCATTGTTTTTTTGGCTCTACTACATATGCGTGTTTGAATCGGGTTATTTTGACATTGTGTTTTGACGTTATATTTTGACAATGGTCCACTTGAGACATCTACGATTCTCAATTCAACTTGTGAGTTGTTCATACTTCTTCTAAGACTAAAGGGCGTGCAAGGTCGTGATGCATGTCCTGATGACCATGTCGGACCGAGATCGGGGGGGTGGGGGGTGTGGAGGGAGGATATCTCTAGTGGCACCACCATCACGCGTTTACCCATCCCCTCGACTAGCCATTGCAATGGTTCTTTAAAAAAATATTTTTCTATTATATATGTCATCTCCCCTTTTACTTGCACCTCAACTTCACAGTGTAGACGTCTTGCAATTCTTCTGAACTTTCATCATCTTTCTTCTACAATTGGTCATATCCAAAAATATTGATTCTTTCACTCTTACTCTTTCTCACAATGTGGGCATCCTATCATTCTAATAACGTTGGATAATCTTTTCATGAATACAATGGTGCAGGCGGTTCAGATTCTTTCGTACCAACAAAAAAAGGTTGAATTGTCTAAACCATGTAGAAAAGTACTAGAGATCAAATCGGTATTCATAACTCTTTTCCATATCGCATTACGTTTAAGTACATTTAATTTTTTTATTACTTTAAACTTTATCCATATTATTTTTTTTACAGAATTTAATGCGTAAATATCATTTCATCAAACTAATGCGCAAGTGGCCATGATTGATTCATTGCGGATTACTATTAGACGTTGATTTCACATGAGCCGTCGTCTTTTTCTCCGCATGGCCAGCAATTTGGCAAGTGCGACTCCTTTTTTACATTGCAACACGATACTCGAGAGAAAGTGGATTTTTTAACGTTACGAAAGTGCACTGCAGCACATCGACAATTGTCGCACGACATGCCATACGACACATCTGCAGATTCACTCGATGAATAATTGTGCATGTCTGATCGAATGGTGTGTGAATACCTGCATGAGTTTTGCAATTGCATTATTAAAAACAATTTGCAAAAACCAACACAAGAAAGTCGTACACGCCTTTTACGCTGCCTACGAAAACCAGCATTAATTTCTGGGCATGGTGAGGACAACATACGTGCGGGTATCACAAGCACCCCACAGTCAATCTTGAAGCCATTGCGTCACATAATCTTTGGATTTGGCATGCATTTTTGGTGCCCGGTTTGAACGTTTTGGGATAGTTAGACATATTCAACATCGCAGAGGGTACCAGCCCCAACACGTCGTTTATTGTTTCTAGGGTGGAATACAAGCACATGTATTTTCTTCCCGATATTATCTATTTAGACTACGCGACTATAGTCAAAATTATACCATTTTGTGATGACGTGAAAAGAAAGAAGTTCTCCAAATTCCAAGAATCAACAAGAAAAGATGTGGAACATTTTTATTGTGCTCAAACAGAGATGACACATTGTGCAAAATCCGGCACGAGCATTCTCACCCAAAAAATTAATGAAGTGTTATGTACACTTGCTGCATCATATACAATATGATTATCGAAGACAAAGAATACACGATATAAGAATACAATCCAAATATAAGGTAAAAAAAATAACGTGAATGTTGAGCGAGTTGACAAAACACAACAAGATCTCAACAGGTTTGCGCTATGTACACAGCAAGCATACACACCAGAACCTCCATGCCGATTTGGTTGAGCATTCATGGAATTTCGGCACACCACTTCTGGATGACGATTAATATTTTTTTTATTGTACCTTATTTTTAATAGTATCTTTTTTATTCCTTCTAATAATTAATCGCATTATGCCATTGTTCTTTAATGTCAATGAAATATTTTTTTAATTAGTTTTAATTCAAATAAATGTTAAAAAATATACTCCCTCCGTCCAAAAAAGAAGTTCCCGGTTTGACCCGGCACGCACTTTAAGAAAACTTGAAATTGTCTTTGACTTTCCCATATTACCCTTATGCCTACTCTCTTCCGATCCTCAATCCTCACTTCCTTCTTTGAACCCTCATACATCTCCTTCAACCATTATTAACACAAAAATTAACTTTCTTACACATAAAATTAAATTGAGGAATTGGGGAAATCTGGGAAATTATAGTTAGAACTATAAACAAATATGGGAAGCTTTGGGAAAAAAGAAAAATTAAATGGGCGGAGGTGATGGAGATTATACTACATTAGACCTGTCCGGATCCGGCCGCCACACACCTCCGACCACCGCCTCGGTTTTCCGGTGCTCCCAATCTTGGGTGACGGGAAAAAATAAGAAGGGGAGACATTAGATCTGTTTGGATCCGGCCGCCACACCCCTGACCACCGCCTTGATTTTCCGCTGCCGGCTGCTCCCAATCTTGGGTGACGGAACAAATTAAGAAGGGGAGGGAAAAGAAAAGAAAAAAGAAGAAGAAGAAAAGAAAAGAAAGAAGATGAAGAAGAAAAGAGAAAAGAAAAAGAAGTGAAGAAAAGAGGATAAGAATGGAGAAGAAGAAAAAGGTGTGGTTGGGTGAAGAAAAAAAAAGATAAGGGAGAGAGAGAATGGAGAAAAAAAAATAAGGGGAGAGAGTGAAGGAAGGGTAATTAAGTCTTTTTAGTATTAAAAACTTTCCAAAAAAAGAAATGAAAGTTTATTTGTGGACGGACGAAAAAAGAAAGTGAGAAGTTTTTTTGTGAACGGAGGGAGTAAAAGAAAGGAAAAAGGATGGAAGGGATGGTGTACTTCTATATCTTATTCAAACTTTTCAAAAAATTACATTAGAGAAAAATTACATAATCTAAAAAATTTTGCCTTGTTCCGTGCATGCCATTGGTTAAAATCTTAGTAAAGCAAAATACGATATCACACACACTCATTAAGCTCAAATTACCATTATGATAAATAACCTTAAACTACCCTACTTTAGCTACTAGTAGTAGTATTATTATTAGGGTCATTATCCCATGGCCACAGCACAAGGTCATCTAATCCTTCCCAAATTTCATCGTACCCTCCGAACCCATCATCGTCATTATCGATAATCCAGTTTACCCATTCCTCGTCACCGTAAAACACCGAGTCTCCGGCGGCCGGAATCTGACACGTGTACATTTCCGCGGCGGTCGCATCGCCGCACCCTCCTCTGGGGCACTCCGCTTTAATTACCGCCGGATCTTCATCAAAACCTCCACCGGTGCCGGCGGGGCAGGCCGGCGGCGGTTGCCAGCTGGCGGTGGGGTCGGGTGTTTTTGACAGCTGGGGGCCACATTTATTGGATGCGGCGGTGGGGTGGGATGGGGTGTTGTATTTTTTGGCCACGGATCGGCTCACACGCCCCGCTCTTCGCCTCCGTGAAGCGGCGGCGGCGGCGGTGTCGGACAACGGCGGCGCGTGGCCGTTCCGGATGAACCTGAAACTGTAAATTCTGCGGCTGAGGTGGGAGTTCCAGTAGTTCTTTATTTCGTTATCTGTTCGTCCCGGCAAATGGCTTGCTATGGTTGACCACCTGCAAAATCACCATTTTCACTTTGATTATTTTTGTAAGCTAAAATTTCACTTGAAGTCTCACAATAGGAATTTTCTGTTTTTATTTTAAAATTACAATTTGCATCGTAATAATGTAACACTGTATCCAGACATTTTACAATACTTTTTGGTAATCTATATAGTTAGAATTGACACTTTAACTGCATTTTAATTCTTATTTCGTGAATAAAATTATGAAAATTCTATTTTATTTATTATTATTATTATTATTATTTTACTTCTACTTTAATTTTTTTTTCTAATTTAATGCTCCCTCCTCTCAAATCTCAATTAAGGGCACTTTAGAATGAACTTAAAAATAAGCCCAAAGATTTCATTCCATTGCATACAAATTCGTGCTCTCGGCCCAAATATGTTAGCTTTCCCTTTTTTCATTGCTTCCCAAAAGTGAGAAACTTTTTTCTAATTAGGACTTAGGAGTTTGATTCTTTGACCACTAAATTCAAATTACTTGTTCCAATTTATAATATTTGATGGAAATTATTTTCAAATCATTTTATATGAAAAATAGTATAAAATTAAAAATTACATATTTAAAAAATTAAATTAAAAGATCTACAAAACTACTGGTAACATGATTATATTGTTTTATCAAATGACTAAATAAAATAAAGAAAGTGGATAAAGTTTGATCTATAAATAGTAAACATGCAACTTAATTTTGAACAAGGAAATACGGAGTATTAAATTATGATATAAACTTAATACCAATAGGTTTATTTTGAAACTTAGTTTTTAAATATCACATTTTCATAGTCTATGTTTATATATAAATAAATATACTTATAGTCAAAATATCAAATTGAAAATTGTAAAAAATCAAATAAAAAATATATGACGAAAGGACCACTACTCGTACTTAATTTTTATTCAAATTCTTTTAATAAAAGAAGGATGAATCTCATTTCCGATGACCCCTTGAGACTCGATCAGACACTCACTGAAGAGAGATAAATTAAATTTTGATTGCAAATTAGTGAGAGAGTATAGAACTTATGCTCCCCGTACAAATGTCTGAAGTCCAACTTGAACCTATCATCTTGATACTCTTTACCTTTTCTCAACTGCTCAACCCCACCGGAAATTAAGTAGGAAGAAAAAGTATTTATGAGTGTCCGGGCAAGGGCAGCCATCGGGAACGGAGAGGGAAAGGGTGGCGCACGATGCACGTGACAGGGGAGTAGTGAACAGCGACTGTTAAAAATTAAAAGCCCCATTAATTCGCCGGGGACCCTAACATACTGCCCGAGACTGACGACGGGCAGCGGAGCCGGCAGGACCATCCCGACCCTCGCTACACCCATTTCTGTCATCTTCATCATGTGAGAAGGTGAATGTTTTTTTAAAATTCATTTTTAATTTAGAAGATGAAGGATTAAATACACTCTCCTTTCTAAAATAAATTATAATTTTTTTAAATTTTCCTCTAGATAAATTTTGTTTATTTGTGTTTTTTATTGAATACTACCTCCGTCCCAGAGTTTTTGTCCACTTTCATTTTTACACACCATCCAATGCACTTTTTTAATCCATTTTATCTTGTAATTTGTATATTAAAAAATTATAGAAATTATATATTAATAATCTACTACATGTTAAGACAAATCAAACAAGATCACACATGACTATATTTAGGCTTACACATTGAGAGAATTTGATGAGTCAAAGTGCTTATAGAACAGTTCCAAAAGTCAAAACTAGACGAATATTCCGGGACGGAAGAAGTATTTAATAAAATATTCTTATTACTTCTTATTTTGTAGAATTTTTAACGTAGTTTTTTAATATATAATTTTTATTTTCTCTTTAATATACCAATTTTTAAATAAAATAATTTCAAAAGAAGAAAATTTTTATCTCATAATTTCCAATTTGTAATCAAATTGGGGAGGACGAAAGAGTATTTCATTGGACCAAAGTACTCAATAATTAAGAACATTACTATTTCTAATTATTCTTTTTTGGATTCTATTTTAATCCTTAAATAAATTGAATGCGAAATAATTTTAGTTAAAAGGTTACTAAAAAACATTAGTTTACAAGAAATCAATAAAAATAAAAATAAAGAACATTCTTTACACGTGGCGGCCAGAAAAAATTGAGTAACATATTTTATTTCAAAAAGAGGAAAAAAGTACTAGAAATTGCAAAAAGCACCTTCCAATCCTTCCATAAATGGAGTATTTTTATTTATTACTACCTCCGTTCCGCTATGTTTGTCCAGTTTTGACTTTTGGAACTGTTCATTTAAGCACTTTGACTCATCAAATTCTCTCAATGTGTAAGCCTAAATATAGTCATGTGTGATCTTGTTTGATTTGTCTTAACATATAGATTATTAATATATAATTTCTATAATTTTTTAATATACAAATTATAAGATAAAATGGATTAAAGAAGTGCATTGAATGGTGTGCAAAAATGAAAGTGAACAAACATAGTGGGACGGAGGGAGTATTTAAAACACAAGGGACTTTTTTGACAATTTGACCGGTTGTTCAATGCCAAGCTGCCCATCTTTAATGTATCTCCCTCCTACCATTCATGGCAGAATGTTTGACACATTTCGAAAAATTAATGACAATTAAAAAAAAAATCAATTTATTTTATTAAAAAGATCGGTATCAAAATTTAAAATAAAATTTATATATTTAAAAATTACATCAAAAATTTTTCAAAACAATAGATGAACTGAATATCTATGTTGTTAAATAACCAATCAAAACATACAAATAAACGAAACAATGAATGTGAACAGTGACATTTTTTTGGAATAACGAACCATGACATTCTTTCTTTGGAAGGAATGAACTATGAATGTGGAGAGCTATGTTTGCGGAAATAAAAAAACAGACAACTAAATTTAAAAGAAAAGATATATATATATATATATATATATATATATATATATATATATATATATATATATATATATATATATTGTTGAATGCTTGGTTGAAAAAAGTAAGCATTTTAGTAATTTCCTTAAAATAAAAGAGAAAAAATACTTAATACTAATTAACCTGTTGCCCAAAGATGTGTGCAATTTCACAATGGTTTCTTCTTCAGCAGCAGTGAAGTTTCCCCTCTTCAAGTCAGACCTCAGATAGTTTATCCATCTTAATCTGCAACTCTTTCCACACCTTTGTAAACCTTTGATTTTAAAAAAAAAATTAAATAAATTAATAATCATAATGCAAATGAGCTTAATAAATTAATAAGTATTCATTTAATCACACTTTACTTTTTCTCATCCCAAAATGTCCCAAATTTAAAATACAATATAATGGTGAAATTATAAACAAACATACAGATTTGCATGTAATAAAAAAAACTGAAATGAAGATAACATCAATGGAGCTCAGTCTTATTTTGAAACTTCTATTTTAATATATTTTCTTAAGAAAATTACTTCAAAGTTTATTTAGATTAAATTCCTTCAAAAAAAATTATATACAGAAACAAAGGTAAAATAAAATTACCAGCATTGTTGGGAAGAGACCTCCAAGAGCCTTCACCATGTTGTTGAATATACTTGACGAGCCTTTCATCTTCTTCTCTAGTCCACCTACCCTTATTCAACCCAACTTTCTCACAACAAGGTGTCCTACCCATTTTGGGACACTGCCCTTGCTACGGGCACTTTTTCCTAGACACAGACACACCCACACTCCCTCCCTCTCTCTCTCTCTAATATAGTATGTCTAGGATTCTAGAAGTACTCCCTCCGTCCCACTCTTTTTGTCCACTTTCATTTTTGCACACCATCCAATGCACTTCTTTAATCCATTTTATCTTGTAATTTGTATATTAAAAAATTATAAAAATTATATATTAATAATCTATATGTTAAGACGAATCAAACAAGATCACACATGACTATTTTTAGGCTTACACATTGAGAGAATTTGATGAGTCAAAGTGCTTAGATGAACAGTTCCAAAAGTCAAAACTGGACAAAGACAATGGGACGGAGGTAGTATTTATTTATTTATTTAAAAAAATATATACTCCGATCCCTATTAATGTAGTGGAGTGGATCGGAAGTACAGATTGGGAGTCAATGCTCTGTTTTTTAAATTATTTTATTTAAAAATTGGTACTTTGTATAATACTCCCTCCGTTCCCAAAAACACTTCTTCTTTCAATTTTTCCACTTCCAACAAAACACTTCTCATTTCTATTAAAAAATCACTTTTACCCTTACTTTTTCATACCCTACCTATCACATCATACTTTTTCTCTAATAAGCTATCCATCACATCTTACTTTTACCTATCACATCAGGGGCAAAATTGGAAATCAACTATAATTTAACACTTCCTTATTTTTGCCCCCAAATCAAATGGGAAGAGTTTTTCCAAATAGAGAGAGTAATAAAAATAAATTAAAAATATAAAAAACTATGTCAGAAGTCTACAAAAAATGATAATAATATTTTATATTATAAAATAATTAACGAAAACTCGGGAACAAAGAAGGAAGGAGTAGGATATATAACAAACTCTTGTATCTTATGGGCGTGAGCAGATATTGAAGTGCGTAATAACAAGGGCGTTGGTGGGGTGGAGTAGGTGGAGTAGGTAGTTGTGGATTCATACTTTTTCTCCAAATACACCATGCATACCATATGTTATTTGTTTTTGGATGTTACTTTCCGGTCTAGTTATTAGGAATCGAATTTGAGTATTACTTTCAAGGCAGTTTTTACTAATTTGTCAATTGTGCAACGCTCACCGACCATAAATAAATTATTATTACATCTTGTACCCCGCCTCCCATAAAGTAAGAGAAAAGACAAATGAAATGTTTGATATTATGGACTTATGCTAATGTTTCTTCACTTACTTCCCATTATATATACTCTTTTTGTCTCAAAAATATTAGGGGTGAAAAGAATAGACCTAACAAGCTAAGGTATTGTATCGAACCGTAATGGTATCAAATTGCTTATAGTTTTCTTAAATGAGATTGATTTTTTCATCCTAAACCGATATAAAAAGAGACGGGATCGTAGTACAAAAATTTAAAATTAATTATGACGAACCGAACAATTTAAAACTGTGAATGGAGTATGTCAAAGACTTATTTAATTATCTATTTCATCTTATCATATATGGCATTATTTGTATTGTATTATTTTTCTTTTAATATTATTTCTTTATTAATGTTGTTGTTACTTTGTACGTATTTTATTTATTACTACTGTGAGCACTATTATTTTTGGATTTATTAATAGTCTCATATATATTGTATAAATTGAAAATCATTATTTTTAAAACTAAGGCTCATTATCTTTTATTCAGTTTGTTTATCATTTTTTTAAAATTTGAAACCGTTACTTGTTTAGCGAATGTGTGTATTTCACACAAAATTATACGGAGTACTTTTCTTTTTAAATTATTTGAGTTATATACATGTTTAAGCTGAGTTTTTTGGAGGGTTTGAGCAAGGTATGGTATTGTGCCATTTTGTTTAAAAAGGTAATGGTAGCGAAAGTTTTGCAATTCATCCCGTACCAAATCTGAACCATTTACATAAGCGAGATCCGTGATAAATTTTGTAAGTATCACGGGCCATCACGGATCGCACTTAACCTTAAAAATATCATCTTACTTCAAACAACGTGTAAGAGACTTTGTTGTGTTCATTTTCAATATCATATATTAAAATTGACCAAATAATGTTGAATGCAATATTATTTTTTCTATTCTGATGTTGATCTCCATATTATTAAAATCGTGTTAGAAATATACATTTTATTAAATCCAGTAAAAATATTATATTGAAATTGTTTTTAAACTGACAAAAATTTCGTTAGACGCGTGCATGGTACGGGTTAGTCTACTAGTGGGTAGTAAAAAATGAGTGAGACTTACATGGTCTTAAGATCCACATTTAAAATATAGACATTCTCACATTTTTTATGGACTTGTATGTGGATATTCTTTTTCAAAAGGCCCACTTTTCTATAATACAAATGTACTGGGGTCCATAAAATAAAGTGAACGTTAGGTTCACAGATGAATCTCCCTAAAAAAGTATGATATAGAAAATGAGTTATGCACTTATGCTTACATGGTGTCAAGATCCACATATAAAATGTGTACTTTCTCACATTTTAAAGCGTTCGCGTATAAATATTTTCTTTTTATAAAAAAACTCATTTCTTTTATTTTAGAAATACACTAAGATCTACTCCCTCCGTTCCCTAAAACAGTTCCTGTTTTGATTTGGGAGAAATCTAATTTCATAGTTTCACCTTCTAATTATACTCTTATTATCGAAGAAAAAAAGAGAGACAGGTCATTTAAATAACTCATTATATGAATGCAAATTGAATGGAGTATATTGTAAAAATTTAATTTAGACATATTAGCCATTTTTACAAAAATGGAAGTGTTTTTTGGAAAAGAAAAAAAATGAAAGATGAACTGTTTTAAAGAATGAATGGAGTATAAAATGATCATACGCAAGAATTTACACTAGAAAGTTACGGGGAAAATGCTAGGGGTACACCAAAGGTATACCCCAAATGTCCTCCACCCCCTCCATAACCACATAAAAAGGAAAGTAAAATTTAAAAAAAAATAAAAAATAAAAACAAAATAAAATGAATGGTAAACAATGTGGTGATGTACGTTTGGGTACACCTTTGGGCTTTGGTGTACTCCTAGAAATAAAGAGTGATTCTTTAAGGTCCATATATATCTAAATAAATGCACATGTGCCACTTGCCACCGATATTAGGAATGGGTTAGAAATGTAATGACAATTTGAGGTTTTGACGTGGGCTTATGAGATTCCTTTGTTTTGGGGGAAGAAAAGGAGTCCACGTAGATTATAAATTCTTTTACTCAGATAAAATCTCATATTTTTTAAATTTGATTTATTTAAAAATTAGTACAAAGAACTATTAATAAAATTTATATATTAAAAAATTAAATCAAAATTTATACTTCCTCCATTCCAATTTGAATCATATGTTTCGATTTATGACTTTTGCTAAAATTATTTTGAGTAAATTTTATAATTGACTATATAACCAACGATTTTCCAAATTTAGTCTTCTATTATCAAATATTAATTTTGTCATCCTTCTTTTATGAATAAATTTTCACAAATAGACCTTTTTTGACCTTTTGTCCTGTTAGTGTTAATTTGAAGGCTAAAAGTGTAATTTGACATCAATCTTATGGTTAGGGACGTATTCTGATGTTGGTTAAATGGATAACATAACAATAATAATGATCATGACTGTGTACTAGAATTTCGACGAATGACAAAATCTGTAGACTATGGTTGTAGTAAAAAGCAACTATAGCTCACGAAAGTCGCATTATGAGCGGCCTCTAGATTGTGTATGACAAGAAAGATATATATGATCGTTGTAAAATTATACCTTTAGTCTTCAAATTAATAACAATATGACAAGAGATCAAAAACTGACTCTTTGTGGAAAATACTCATAATAGAAGGATCATCGAGTTAATATTTGATAACAGATGACTAAATAGGAAAAACTCCTCTTATAAAGGACCAATTATAGAATTACTCAAATATTTTTAAATCATTTAGTATGAAAATTATTGTAGAATTAAAAAATAAAAATTATAAATTTAAAAACTGCATCAAAAGATCTACAAAGCTAGTTGTGGCATGACTATATTATTCTATTAAATGACTAACGAAAATATATGAAAAGAAAATGAATAGTAAAAAGAAGTTGCAAGAATATTTTGTTTGACCAAATAATCAATGAAAACATACGACATTTGCTCAAAAGAAAGCCAGATTGTAAAAGCATGCCAATGGGAGTCCCAATTTTCCCTCCAAAATAAAACATTTGCTCTATCCAAAAAATAACGTCAAGGTTCAGTATTCAAAAATTATGAATTTTGTACGTTTTCATCGATTATTTGATAAAATAAAATATTTTTGTCATCTCTTGTTTTGAAAAACCTTTGACGTGTTTTTTAAGGCAAATTTTTCAGTGCTCCTAAGTTTCACACTCATTTTATATATAAGGTCATGTTCTTCGCAACTTATTTTTTATACTTATTACTTGTTCTTATTGAAATCAGATTAGATCATAATCAGAAATAGTTTTAAATATAACAACATTCAGACCAAATTAGATCATATCAGATCAGATCACAACTTATTTCAAGCAGATCACAAATATTTTGAAAGGGAGATTGATTTTGTGGTATTCACCACCATGTACATTCACTGTAGGCATTGAAATTCAGCTTTCACGCCCAAACACCGGCCACATGACAAAAAAAGTGTCCTCTTCATGAATTAAACACTAGCCAAATGACAAAACAGCCCCAGTCCGATGGACAATGCATTGCATGCTTAGACTAAATTAGTACAAATGTTGCAGGGCTGCAGCCGATCTGCTCAACCCTCTCCATTTACTAATCAATATAGAAACAGTCACTGAGACGTAACTCAGCGGTTGATATAAGTGTCAAAGAATTAATTCAACCAAAAACTCAATCTTGTGGTTGTGACCCAGGAAGAGTTATTTATATTCTAACACACTCCCTCACGTGTAGGCGTAATCTTTTTCGAGCCTTGCACGTGAAATTTTAATTTTCTTAAAACTGGATGGCTGACCTCTTAGTCAATAAGGCTCCGATACTATGTCAAGGAACCAATTCAACCAAAAGCTCAAGCTTGTGGTTGTGACCCAGGAAGAGTTATTTATATTCTAACAATAAGTATGCTACAAGGGAGAGATTCTGAGTTGGAAGTTTGGTGGCAGCGATGAAGAGTAACTATGCAAAACACAAGATATTGATATGGGTCCGGTAGTGCATGGGGAACCGGAGGTTCGTCGAAGTGGGAGGCCGAGGCGTGTACCGCGTTGGCAACGAGACTACAACATGAATTAGTTTTGTTTTATTACTTTAATAATAATAATGTAATTTAGTATTTTTCTAGGTGAGCAAGCTATAAGCTCCTTCGAGGGTTTCTTTACGGTTCTTTACCTCGTCGCTTTTTTTTGAACCGTCAGGATAGCAAACGTAGTTGTTAGGATTGGGCTTCTCTATATCTATAAATAGAGATTAACCCCCTTTGGATAATCATGAATAATAAAATCCATTTAATCCTCCCTTCCTCTCACGTCTCTTCCTCTCTCTTTTGGCCTAACGCACGACTCTGCGTTTGCTGCCGTTTCTCTTCTCTTTCTCCTTCTCACGAGTTTGGGGAGCACTCTGAGCCTCCTTCAAGGATACGTATTGTATCAGATATCTGCAAGTACCAGATATGGAACCTCAGTTCTATGTCAACTGACTAAGAATGTAGCTCTATTTACCTTCTTAACAGGGCCGATCGGGCACTAGGCCAATTAGAAAAATGAGGACACTCATAAAATAATTTTTTATATGTAATTTAAAAAAAAGATTATTTTAAAAAATATATGATAGTAAAAAAATGGTCAACACTTTTAGAAAACATTAATCACTTTTTATCACTAATCTCACAATTATTTAATTTTTGAGAAAAATAAAATAAGGAAAAATATGATTTGATTCTCTCACAAACCCATTGTCTATAATAATGTGGAATATCTCTTGATGTGTTATCAAGCTAAGCTGCTCCCAATTATTTGAATGAAACGCTAAGTTTATCTCAATTATTTAGATAAAAAAAAGTCAAAGAACTTTATCATCTAATGCTAAATTTATCGAAAACTCTTCTTCACAAATATTTTTAGGCGTATAAAATAGAAACAATATTCAAGTAATTAAAAGGAGTGATATCACTTGATGAATTAAAATATTTGAGTGTCATGCTATTATTGTACTTCATATCTTACCTTAAAATTAGAAGCTTGGAAACGAAAATCATTATTTTTACAACAGTATATTACGGGTATGTAAGAAACTTTAAGTGTTTTATTATTCTGAGTACAATCTCAACAATAAAGTTATTTATTATTGTTCGAACAGAGACTAATTAATAAGATATTCTTTCCGTCTCAATTTAAATTATATTGTCTACTCACTATTTGCCGGATCAAACTTAATTCACTCTCTCTGCATATTTTCATCACTCATTTAATAAAATAGAATAATCATATACTCCCTCCGTCCCAGAGTATTTGTCCACTTTCATTTTTGCACATCATCCAATGCACTTCTTTAATCCATTTTATCTTGTAATTTTTATATTAAAAAATTATAGAAATTATATATTAATAATCTATATGTTAAGACAAATCAAACAAGATCACACATGACTATATTTAAGCTTACACATTGAGAGAATTTGATGAGTCAAATTACTTAGATGAACAGTTCCAAAAGTCAAAAGTGGACGAATATAGCGGGACGGAGGTAGTATATCACATCTCGTTGCGTAGAATTTTCAATGTAGTTTTGAAATGTGTAATTTTTATTTTTAAATTCCACCCTAACTTTTAAATAAATTAAACTAAAAATAGTTTCGATCAAATATCATAATTCGAAAGTTGGGATTCAGAAAGTATCAAATTAAATTATATATGTAAATGTTGACAAAAAAAAGTAAGAAATGGGACACATAAAATTTAATTCGCAGTGTCAATCAATCCTATGTTGAAGTATAGTATTGCCACCATGAACCATAATTTGCATGAGGAGGATCATCGACCACGTAAACCACAAGACCAGCGGAGACAAACCATTAAACTTTTATTTTGTGTCGGTTTCAAATTTTTATTTTTTGTTCTTTCTTTTTTGTTAGGACATGAGAGGGTACACGATGCACCCACACACATTAAAAACATGCATGATAGATGCACAGTCAACGTATACCCCCATGGACTCACACATTAAATGTTCATTATATTGTTTGTCCCAAATTGGGAGGTGATTTTGTTTTGAATGGCAGAGAAATAATAGTATTATATAGTCACAAATAAAATGTACTCCGTAGCTATCTGGTTCCTTGATAGTTGATACTCCCTTCATTTCATAAAAAGATTTTTTTTTTTTGAATTTTAGGAGAAATAATGAGTGTATATTTGTGGTTGATTTTCTAATTTTACCCTTGGTGTAATGAGTGAAAGTAAGATGTGAATCATGTGATGGATAGATTGTTAGTGAAAGAGTATGATGTGATAGATAGGGTAAGAAAAAGTATGGATAATGGTGGTTTCTTAAGAGAACGTGGAAGTGTTCTGAGAAAAATAAAAAATAAAAGAGAAATTGTTTTAAGAAACGCAGGGAGTATATTGGAATTACAATGAAGCTCTTCTTTTTTTACTTTGTTCTATTATTCTACAATTAATTTCTCATTTGACTTTTTACAGTCTCTAATACAATATTTTGACCATTAATATATCGATTTTTATATAGTTATATATTATAGAAATAAAATATTTCAAAACTATATAATTCAAAATTAATCGATATTAAATTTATATTAAAATTCAATTTATTTTTTTGTAATATATGATCAAAGTTCGAACAGTTTGAACATAAAAATTAAATTGGAAAATTAATTCTAGGACACTGTAACTAATAAAGAAAGTCTTATTAATACAATGAAGCCCACGCAAACCAAACAAGATAATAGTGAGTGGAGATAGTGGTAAATAATTTGTTGAAATTATGAATGCCAGCAAGTTTAGTAGGGCATGCTTACAGAGAATGTACGAGTATATTTAAGTCATGGATCCATGTAATTACCTCTACCCCATATTTATACATTATTTTGTATACTAAAATTTTGTACTCACACACAATGCAAATATAATATTATATTATATAGTTTATGTTTAATTTGTACTAGAGTACTCTTTGTCATTATAATAAAATTTAAAATGTGGTAGGAATGACGAGACTGAACCATAAAATTGGATTGAAACACAAAAAAAGATTGAATCTATTCGATTACTTAGTTCAACTCAAGAGCTTATATACAGATTTAATTTCTCTACAAGTTCCGATGTGGGAACACTCTTTAACACTCCCCTTCAAATGGATGATCGGACCATTTTGAATTTAACCGGTTGACCACTTGAAAATGGATTCCCATCCCCTTGATTTTTTTGAGCACCAACACTTAAAAGACCACGAGCTATTGGGTATGGAATTCCAGACGAGCAATATAATACAATCGGGTTAAATAAGCCACATGCCGTTAAATATACACTCCACACAGACAACTAGGATAAAGACTAGGGCCGCTAGGAATTAACATCTAGACGGACACCTTAACAAACAAAGTGGGCTAAAATTGGCTCTGATACCATGATAGGATTTGGAACGGGGTAGGAATGACGGGAATGCGTCATAAAACACTTGGGTTGAACCACAATTAAACATCGAATCCAATCAATTACTTAGTTCAACTCAATAGCTTATATGCCGATTTATTTTCTCTGTAAGTTTTGATGCGGGACACTCTTCAACAAAAACTTTGTTATACTCCCTCTGTCCCGAAATGGATACTACTATCACTATTACAGTCTTTAGATAACTTTTGTTTGTTTGTATATTTTCAATGATAAGTTGATAAAATAAAATATTCTTATCACCTCTTGTTTTATAAAATTATTTATATACTTTTAGACGGTGTAATTTCTACTTTTAATTTATATACTATTTTATGATTAAAATAATTTTAAAATTAATGAGATTTTACATGTTGCCTGGAGTGTTGCATTTGATATGGGACAGAAGGAGTATATCAAAATGGTGTATAGTATTTGTACACCATGCAAATAAAAATATTAAGTATTTGGAGAATTGGAGTACACCATGGCCCATAATATTATTGGAAGTCATTCTCTCATTCATCATTTAAATTTTGACCCGTCACTTTAGGCCTGACGCTTTGGGAAGGACGAAGGACCTTTTTGATTATGAGCATTAGAACTTTTACTCCATATGTTTTTAGTCCCTACCTCCATCAACTTACTTTCGACATTGACTTTACACACATACTTAAAAAATGTAAAAATTACTTTGAAATTTCTTTTTGAATATTTAAAAAAAATGACTAAATGAAAAGTGTTAATATATAGTCTACCATAGATTTTTCCATTATTCCTTTTCATTTATCTTCTATAGATTTTTTTATTATTTTTATTACATTTAAAATATCATAATTATCTCACTTATTTTATTTATTACAACGTACTCACTATCTCATTTAACATACTCCATCTTTTTCATTAATCGAGCCCGTGGGCGTTACGCAGTTGGCAAGACAAGAAGTGCCAAGGGGTAAAATACTAATACCCGAGTTTGATTTTTGACAACTGTACTCAGAGGCAACTCTGCAAGTATCAAGTTCAGGCTCCACTCTTTGCCACCAATTTGTGATCAAAATTCAATTTACTTCCTCTCAGTAACTATCCGGCCGGGTCTGAAGGGGCCATCGGGGATGAATACTTTTTTTCATTAAGCGTATTTTGATAAACTTTCACCTTTTTTCAACTATCCTCAAAAAGCACAAAAATCAAAAATTGAGAAGATCTTAGGAGGACAGAGGGAGTAATATAGACGTGATAGATCATGATAAACAAGAAAAAATAAGGAGGAAAGTAGATCTAAAAGTACATTTCATCATAATACAAAAGCTAAACGTTCACATTATATTTTTGAGCTTATTATTTATTTTTATTAAAATCAGAAAAATTTAGATCTAATTTGATCAAATCCAATCAGATTAGATCAGAATCAATCGGATAAGATCATTTTATATTAAAGTAAATAAATCCTGAAAAATGTTGAGAAATATTGCTAATATTTTTTCTATTATTTCAAACGGAGTAATAATTAGTATGTGATTAATTTGTATTGCATTATTTAATGTTACATATAATTTACTATTAATTACTATCATGATGTTATGAGTGATAAGAATAATATTATACTCGGGGTATATAATTAAATAATACTTATTATTATTATTAAAGTAATTATAACTCTCTATTTATTACGGAGTACTAAATTATTGTACGTCCTCTTTCAAAAAAAATACAAAATTTCATCTCTTTTAAAGAGTACAAATTGATATAGTGATTTG